TACACGGGAACGCCCAGGGATGTGTCACAGGTTCCTTTATAGAATCATAGGCTTTCCCTTACTTCTTTTTTTTAAGATTTTATTTATTTATTTGACAGACAAGTAGGCAGAGAGGCAGGCAGAGACAGAGAGAGGAGGGAGCAGGCTCCCCGCTGAGCAGAGAGCCTGAAGCGGGACTCAATCCCAGGATCCTGGGATCATGACCTGAGCCGAAGGCAGAGGCTTTAACCCACTGAGCCATCCAGGTGCCCTTTCCCTTACTTCTTACGAAAGATGCACCATCTGAAGCTTCGTTTCTTTTAAGGACTGTGTGCTTCTTTTCCCCTCTTTTTTCATAGTAAAAAAAAAAAAATTTAATACAAAAAGTATAGAAATATATCACATATAAAATATATGCCATATTACTTTGCTCGAGTTTAAACCCAGAAAACCAGAGACATGATGAGCTGAGCATCTATACAGAGGTATGTCTGCATTCTGCTGATGGAGAAAATTGTTGCAACCAAGCCTCAAGTCCTGGTATTTATAAGGCATGTGTAAGAAATTAAAAAGATACCATTTGTTCCTAGACATGCATCCTTCTCCTATGAGGCTCCCCACCAGGCCATTCCAGCCCCCTTTAGGCTGCATCCTCAGTACCACATGTGTCTTAAGTGACATTCCTGGATCCCTGTATCTGTTTTCTAGTTCTCATGGCTTCTGTGCCTCTCTTCGGGTGGGCACACCCTGGGTTGTCAATTCTGGTAAAGTGTAGGACATTAAGGCACAAAAACACTTGCTTGTCAAACATTAGAATGGAGTTTTTCCTTCTCCTTATCTTCTCCCCCTCCCTGCCATTTCTTTCATCCTTCCTTCCTTCATTCCTTCCTTCCTTCTTGTTTTCCCTTTCTTCTCTCTCTTTTTTTTTTTAAAGCTTCTTAGTGGAGAGAAGTGGGGTTTTGGTTAGGATAGAATGAAGATGCAAAGATTTTTATTAAAGTAAGACTTGTGAGTTGTTCCATGAGATCACACGTTCATATTAGCAAAGAAAGGGCTTGTGTTGCAGAAGCTCCCGTCTGTGAAGGCTGAAGGCCAAGGCTAACATCTCTAAGAGAACAAGGGCTGTACCACCATTCTTCTAAGGCAGATCCAGGAGGCTGGTGGGGAGAGCTGTGTGAAGGAGGAGGAAGGACAGAAGGTCAGGATGAGCTAGAGAAGAGCCAAGGACAAAGGAGGCCACAGAAAGAGCTTCCATTGGATGCTTCTCCAAGCTGAACTCTGTGTAGAACTTGGAGAAGTTAGTGTCACAGTAAAGGGTTTGCCTCTTTCTCTGCACTCTGGCTGTGTTCAGGCATAGCTAATAGTACAATTACTTTCCTTCTGGGATATATTTGCAGAACTTTCCAGATGTCACATAGATTATGGTGGAGAGGGAGGGGAAGGAGGGGACAGCTGGAAATGTGAAGTCAAGACCAAAAACCACACATAGTTTCCACCTTATGGACTCATTAAGAGGCCATAAGTTAACCTGGAAAATAAAACCCATGTAAGAAGAAAACAATGGAAATCATCCACAGCTTCCAAGTCGACAGATTCATTTCCTGATTCGCCACCCAGTGATGGTGGGTGGTGAGGAGACCCACAGAGATGCAGTCCCTACATTTTGTGATGCATTTCAGAAGGAGATTTGAGATTTCTAAGAACTGGAAAGATGGTCCAGCCAGAAAGTTCTGAAAACCCAAGCAGGGGGCTCTTGGCCCACAGCTCTGCCTGCCCTGGGCACGGTGCCCGTGTGACTGATCATGGCTGCTGGGTTTTCACGGGCACCAAGCACACAAGGAAAAGGGCACAGATTTGGTCCCTGCAGTTGTATCCAAGGCCTGGAGAGCAGTTTGCAGCCTTGGGCACTGCCAGGTGCTGGGCTGTGTCAGCCCTTGGGGACTGTCTTTTGCTAGCTGGCGAGGATTGTAGGACGGGTGACTGTCGTGTTCAGCCTTGGGTGCACATGAGAATCACCGGGTCAGCTTTTGGCAACGAGCAGGAGGGTTACACATCTGTATCATATAAACCACAATTGGACGGATGCATTTCAAAAGCTTCCCAGGGGATTCTGAAGGATGGACAGGGATGACTCTTTCCAGGCTTTCTGGGGAATTCTCTGTCTCTGCCTCTGTTCCTTCCCTTTCCATTCCCCTCAGCCACTCTTCCCTTCCCCCTCCTCCTCCCCTCTATTAAAAACTATTGTGAAAAAAAAAAAAAAAAACTATTGTGACGATGACTTATTTCTCCAAACACCTTGATTCTCCTTCTAAATACTGAAAACGTACTTTCAACTTTCAGGGATCTGTTTCCAAATATTCTCTAGGCATATAGGAGCCTGGTTCTCAGTATGTGTATTCATAAAATGACAGCTTCACCTGTGGGCCAGGCTGGCTGGGGCCTTTGGTGGGAGGAGATTAAGAAACAAGGAATGAGGGGCACCTGGGTGGCTCAGTCAGTTAAGTGTTAAGCACCTGCTGAGGTCCAACCTGAGATCCCGCCCTGCATCGGGCTCCCTGCTCATCCCGTCTTCTGCTTTTCCCCCTGCCACTACCCCCTACAACCATGCACACACACACACTCTCTCTCTCTCTCTCTCAAAGAAACAAAATCTTAAAAAAAAAAAAATGTAATGGAACTAAAGAAATTTAGGGTCATGATTTTCCATTTCTCCATTATCCTCGTTGGCACCTCGACCCACTCATAGGCCTGTGAAGGACACCAAGTCCTCAGTTCCTTCATAAAGAGAGGTCGATGACAGCTGGAGGGGTGACGTTTAGCCCTCACAACACACCAGCCCTGTACTAAATATACACAGATGAATAAGAAGACACTTCCACTTTTTGGAAAAGATGTTATTTATTTTGAGAGACGGAGTATGTAATAGTGGGGAGAGGCAGAGGCAGAAGGAGAGGGAGAAGCAGATGCTCCATGAAGCAGGGAGCCCGACTTGGGACTCGATCCCAGGACCCTAGGACATGACCTCAGCTGATCAGAGCTTTGCCAACTGAGCCCCCCAACCTGTGCCCCTAGAAAATACTTTCACTTTTAAGTGGGTTAAACTTAAATATTTTACTGTAGTACAAGTTTTAAAGCTTGTGAATGGGACTATTTGAGCTGAGTCTCAGAGATGGGGTAGGAATTAACGGGGCGAGAGGGAAAGGGTCCTTCTGGGCAGAAGGGAGAGCAGGCAGAGGCTCGGCGGTGAGAGAAGCATGCGCCCTGCGGGGTCTGCGGGTCGCCTAGTGGACTTGCTTTTTGCTCGCAGGCTGAGAACTAGCCGTCGACTGAACAGTATCAGGCCTCCCTGCCTCTTCTGATTTTGGATTTAGAACCTGGCTTTGGGTGGTCTTTCCATCCAAATTGAGCTGCACCACAAATTTAAATTTTGTATGTTTATTCTTTGGGTGGTGGTGGTTTTCCTCTCTTCCCTGCCGGTTGGCAGTCATGGGACTGGGAGAGGATGGGGAAGGAGGAAGTGAATCCCCACCTGATTCATAGGCTCGACAACACACGCGTGCACACGCGCACACACACACAGACACACACACACATAGGGACACACATAGGGGAAGCTGCTTTTCCGGCTCAGGATAAAGACTTTCTAGTGATAAGTTCTCCAAGGCTCCTCTCTGGAATTGGGCCTGGGAATTCGAATTTTTTTTTTTTAAGATTTTATTTATTTATTAGACAGAGATTACAAGTAGGCAGAGAGGCAGGCAAAGAGAGAGAGGGGGAAGCAGGCTCCCTGCTGAGCAGAGAGCCCAATTCGGGCACTATCCCAGGACCCTGGGATCACGGCCTGAGCTGAAGACAGAGGCTTTAACCCACTGAGCCACCCACGCGCCCCAGGGAATTCGAATTTTTAAAAGTCCACCCCCCACCCAGTCCTCCCACAGCACAGTCAAGACTGGGAACTACTGCCCTGGTGCCCAGTGCTGACCCGAGAAAGCGACATTCTGAGGATCACAGCCGACTTAGACGGTGCTAACAAAATGCCACGACTGACTCACAGGTCCTTGTATTAACTCCCTTAATCCCTGTCTAGCCCTGCAGAGGGAGTGCCTGATTGTTCCCATTTCAGACACCGGGAACCAGGCACAGGGTTCAGGTGCCTTGTGCGGGGCCCAGAGTCGACCACTGGCAGAGCCCGAGTAAAGCTTGTCTTAGTCCTCGCCCGAGCTCTCTCCTCTTGAGTGGAGCCACTAGCCGCACAGACACAGAGCAGTGCTGTGGCCCCCGCACGGTCTGAGCAGGGACATGAGGGACATGAAGGTAAGACATGGCCAGTGGTGTGGCCGTATCGGCTTCGCATCTGGCCCCCAGCAGGCAGGAAGTGAGGGTTAGACTGTTAAGGGTTCTGTGGTCTGAATGTCACTGACCCTAGGTGTGAGAAGAACCGTGTGCCACGGACTATGATGAGCAGGCTCCAGGTCACACAGGACCGTGGCTCTCAGCTGCCACAACCAATGCCATCGGGAAGTCACAGGCCTATGGCTAGGAGAACTGAGAAGAGAAATCTATTTCCTGAAATGGCAGGAACGTGGAGGGACTTTAGAGATGGAAAGTCGTGCTCAGGGCTGGATAATGAGAGGGTCGGGGAATTGTATTTCAGAATGTGGACAGCATGTCCCGGAACAAGCAGCCACCTTGGGGCATGAAGTCAAGGGTGGGAAGGTGGGAACCCAAAGGATTTCGTACCCACAGACAGCCTCTGTAAGCTTTCCATGGGTGTTGTCCTGCACCTCAGCTACCCCCCACCCCGACCCCACCGCAGGTCAAGTACAAGTCCGCAGAGTCGCCAGAGAGCATTTCCTCCTCTGCCACGCGTTCTAGACCAGTTTCCCTTCACGGGCTCGCACATGTGCTCGCAGCCACGTTTGAGGACCTCTGAGGCAGCCTCCCAGCACGTCCCAGCTGTAAGGGCTGGGGGCTCTGGCCAGGACAAAGGTGCATGTGATTCTCTGTGCTCCCTCTTTCAGGTACCAGCACTGCTTCTATGGGGTCAACCTGTCCAGCCTCCGGGGGGCTGCAGTGGATGAGTATTTCAGGCAGCCGATAGTCGTAAGTGGCTCTCATGGCGGGCTCTCCCCCACGTGTTTTTCTGGACTCGCTCCCGTCACCGAAAAAAAGAAAGAGCTCCTCGGAACACTATGTTCTCAAGTCTTCCAGCTCTCATCTTCCAATCAATTAAGAAAGTTCTCAGAGAATGATGCTGTCACAAGCAAGGAGATTTTCTGACTGCCTCTCAATAAGACACTTCTGATTCCCCCACCGCCCTGACTCACCCCATGTCCACACTGAGCCCTCACACTCGTTCAATAATTCATATCTTCCCATTGATTCTGGTGGCCCGAGGCCTAATAGAAGAGGCAGCTTTGTAAAATAAATAACTTAGAACAGGAGCATTGCAGTCAAACAGATCGGGGTTTCCATCGTGGTCCCCTCTAACTGTGTGACCTTGGACAGTAATAATTTGGCATTACCCAAAACGGGCTTAATTACTGGCCCTCAAACCTGCAGAGCCTGGAGCTCGCAAGCCTGGAGTTCGGGCAGTGTCACCCGAATCTGATTTCTCTATCCTGAAAATTTATCTCCGTTGCCTCTAATTTATCTCCGTTCCCAGACAGGGTCTCCCCTCCTGGTAGCAAGATGGCTTCAGGAACTCCTGCCTCAGATTTGTACAACTCTTAAGTCCAACAGGAGAGCCAGCTTTTCTCTAATAACGCGGGCCAAAGCCCCCGAATTCGTTTAGCTAGACCCTGAGTGTCCTCCCTCGGGTTGGGTTCCTGCCTGTGAAACCATCTTCAGGGGAAAAGTCACGCACTGATTGGCCAAGCTAGGGTCACCGGCCATACTGGGAGCTGAAGGCGGGCTGAGTTTTTATGGAACTTCTTAGAATATGGTGAAGGGATAAAGTCTGGATGGTTGAAAACACACCAAACACCTGCTTCAGAAGCATTGGAGGACTGGATGACACAACGTTAGCACTTAGGAAAAGCATGAAGTACGCCACGCTTGCATAGTAAGCCCGGAATAAACGCTAGTCGTCATTATGGACCTTATTCTCATTAAGCTCATGCCCTCCAAATCCTAACCCTTGTTGACTTGAAATTTTGGGAGGAAAGCCAGCCCACAGTTTTGCTGGGGTTCCGTTTGTCCTGATAGAAAGATAACTTTTCTGCTGCTTCTCCCCCACCCCCCACCCTGCCAGGACACATTCGACATCAGGATTTTGATGGCTCGGACAGTCAAATACACAGTCAACTTCATGGACGCCAAAGAGGCAGATCTCCACAGGTTCGTAAATAGCAGTGTGGCTCTTGGCTTTTACACTCTCCACCTCGCTCATCCCCAAACTGTAGCGCAGGGTTTTGCCACTCACGCAGGGGAGAGACCTGAGGTGGGAGTCTCACCCGGAACGGTGCAGCAGTGCTAGTCGCATTTTACTGCCAAACGAGGATGGTGAAGCTTCTTCCGTAGGATTGGTTTAAGAGTTGTGTGTGTAACGTGAATAGCAATAGCTTGTGCTTCTGCAGTCAGTTGGCGTTCTGAGCCCTTTACACATACCGACTCACTGTGTCCTCCCAACAGTACTCTGCATACAGTACCGTGGTGACCTCCGTCTTACGGAGGACAGGTGCAAGGCAGAGTAGAACAGTAGGTTGTGCAAGGTCACAGAATGATGGAGGATGTGAGACTGTTCCAAAGGCTCCAGAGTCCTGGCTGCTGAAGTCCTCACCTGGGCCAGGAACATTCAAGAAGCAGAGCTACAGCTTGCTGAGTGCTTGCCTACCTGAGTGCTGTGCTAGGTGTTTCGCAGGCACGAGCTCATTTCCAAAGACAGCACTCAGTAAATGTTCATGTTTGTCTCCTTCCCTCCATCGGAAGAGACTCTGAAATGAGAACCCATTCTGCGGATCATGATAGGAACCCGCCAGGCATGACCTTTCACTAGTATTTTGCCTTTTTTTCCTTGAGAAGACCAGTGTGCCAGTATTTTTTTCCCCTGGGTATGTAGCTAAAGACCCAGCCAGGCTGTCATTTTGTCCGGGCTTCTGAGGAAGTAAGGGCCAGACTTTAGCAGGTGCCACTGGGCAGCTTAGACCACCATCTGTCTGCAGATCACAACGGGCGCAGGGGCTGTCCTAGTCGGGGCAGGCTAGAACCCGCTGCTGTCCTCGGAAACCACGTCCGTGGCTTAGACCGCAGGAGTCGTCCTCCCCAATGCTGTTCGTGCACGGGGCACAGCTGTGGCTCTGTGTGGCGTCACCCACCCTCGCCCACCAGCCTCCGTCCAGAGCGTCGCTCCTCACTTAGTCAAAAAGAAAGATTCGTGGCCACGTATGTCCTGGCATTAAGAGCTTCTGCCCAGAAACAACACAGCTCGCTTCTGTTCACGCTGACTTGGTCGAAGGCCGTCACGTGCTGTGCCTGAGCCCGGCTCAGTGGGTCAGTGTCTTCCTGCTGTGCGCTCCGCTCGAGGACTGGCGTTTGGGAGCAACTCTGGTGACTCCCACGGGCCCGGACAAAATTGGCTTCCGTTGGCTTTAGGTGCTGCTTGGGGCCACCTCCTGAGTCCAGGGAAGTTTGAGGTCTGTGTCAGCTTTCCGTTCTCCATTTTGCGTGTGTGGTTTCAACAGATGCTTACTGAGACCTCGCCAGGGACCAGGTACAGTGCCGGTGCTTACACGGGCTCGGAAAGTAACTTCCAAAAGTCTGCACTTGAAGAGTTCAGTCTACTTAGGGGAATGCCCTCCCCCGCAAAAGGAGGAAATGATGGCAGTGCAATACCAAACAATTCAGTGGGATCAGCACAATGGAAAACTCTAGAAACGCTCTGATGGCCGCAGGGTGGAAGAAGTTAGGGCTTTGCAGGCACCGTACGTGCAAAGAAGGTATGACCTCCTTCGAAAATCCTTAGAGCACTCACTAACCCGAGTCTCCCTCAGCAAGGGACGAATAAGACCATCTTGTAATTGTGAAACTCTGTGGAGTCCCCAGAGTGCTCTCCTATGTTATCCCCCTGCCCAACACGCATGAGAACCTCGCAAGGGAAGTGGGAGGTTTTGTCACCCATTGACAGGGGACAAAACTGAGAGAGGATTTAAGTGACTTTCCAAGTTAGCATCTACCCTTTGTGTTATCTTTTCCACTCTTCCTTCTATTCCCCCTCATCCCGCATGTGGTAGAAACCACAGCCATGTCTGCATGACGTTTGCTATGGCCCTGTGCGAGGTTCAGTGACCTCCCTGAAAAATAAATGAACTGTGACAGTGGCCTTTATAGCTGGATGCGGCCCCCTGTGATCGGCTTCATTTTTTTAGCGGCCGGCCAGCCTTTCCCATCTGAGTAGCAGCACAAGGGAGCTGCCTCGCTTGGCGCTCTGACGTCTGGAAGGACGGGTGTCACCTGGGCCTCGTCCTCCTCTCCGGGGCTCACACCTCACTCTGGATGTCGCCTTCCCCCCGGGGAGTCCTGGGTTGCCCAGCGTGGTGATGGAATTCTTGCCAAATTTTGTCAAGAAACCACACTGTCACTACATCAAAAAATTAGTGATGTACTGTATGGTGACAACCATAATATTTAAAAAAAAGAAGAAGAAGAAGGAGCCACATTGTCAAATGCGTAATCACGCATGGAGAGAACCCTGCTTCCCAAGCTGGAGTGCTTAAGAGAGAAAGAAAATAGCCTGGGAATGTTCTGGTTGATCGCTCAAATGTATCTCGTATGCCTGTCAACAGCAACAAAATAATTCCTAGTGTTTCCGCGCTCTCTCTCTCTTTTCTTTCCTTGCAGAGTAGAAATCCCCTTTGTGTTTCAGCTGACACAGTCTGGCCTCGTCCACGGCCTGGCGTTCTGGTTCGACGTGGCCTTTGTGGGATCTCTGTAGGTATCACCCCCTTCCACGCCTGCTCGGGCCCCATGCCATTCCCCACCATGTGTGATTGTGACTCCAAGGTGTTCTAAAGTGAATTTCAACCACCATAACACTCATTTCTCTAGTTTCAAGAGTTTCAAAGCACTGATACAAACAGAACTTTCAGATTTTAGGGCCAAGTCGAAATGAGACCGTTTTCCACAGTGTCCTTTCGGCCCTGGCTAAAATCCTGGGAAACGTCCGAGGACAATCGGATTGGGATTTGAAGGAAGGACAGAGGGTCTGGGCTTTATCATCCCTCTTGGTCTTTTCCAGACTAGGTGGTGGGAAGGACCCCAGGCACCCGCCTTGGCTTTCTCTCTCACCATCCTGGTTCCAGAACAGCCTGTGTCCAGGTGAGCCAGACTCGGGCCTTCCCCTCTCTGGTTTGCACCGTCAGCTCCGTAGGCTAGAGCCCTTCTTTAGTGAGCAGGCAGGCATGGACGGCTAAGGCTAACAGCCTCGGCAGGTGACATCTCCGTCATGTACTCCTTCCCGCTCCTGAAAAGATCCGAAACCCTAAGGGAAGAGAGGAGACAGACCACCTCCGAGTTGATTCTCAGTGTCTGGCATTTCTCGTTGGGGCTGCACTATCCCCGGGAACCCCCAAATCTGTGCTCTCCTGCAGACTCCCCCCTGCTCCCTTGCCAGGCTTTCTCGTGTTCTCTGATGAGTGAAGACAGTTGCTCTGGGTCACATGACCAGGCAAACGGCAAACCCGCAGCACACTCTCCTCTACTCCGTATAAAAGCATGCAGGCTCACCATTGCATCTGCAAAGAGAGAAGGGCTCGTGGGTCTGTGATAAAGCTCAGGGAGATTGGGGGGCTCAGGGGGAGGGGATCCCTAGCAGCCTCATCTGGGCTGACAATCAGAGAGAAAGAAAAGGATGTATGAGTCATTCCTGCAGCACAGAAGCATATTTGTCCAAGGGAATCCACGCATTTATGTCTCCGACTTTCCCCCAGTGAATTTATTCCTGCCGGAGCAAGGGAGATAAGCTAGACGTGGCCTGCTCCAAGGGGAGAACTTCTTTGAAGTTAAACGCTTTATCCTAAAAAGCTTTCAAAAATTTGCATTCTACTCTAATATTCTCTGAGTATATTTTGATCTAGAAGTGGTTTATGTTACTTAGCAGCTAAATTTTGTCAGATATCCCTATAAAATCTTCAAGTCAAAATGGACCCTTCCTCCGTCCAAGCCAGAGACACAGCCTGAGCCCAGGACAGGTGACCTTGGTGTTGGAGGCCCAGCCAGATGTTCTCACCTCTTCACATAAAAGGAAGAATGTCCATTTAAACACTTTCACACACATACACATGCAGGAAGTCTGAGCTGGAAGGAGTGTAGAGACCATCTGCCCAGGAGCTTTTCTGGCTTCCAGAAGCCTCATCAGGTTCTCTGAACAGGTTGGCATGAGACAGTTAAGAGACCAGCTCCAGACTCCTCACCCTGACAGATGCTTTTCAAACAAATCATTTCCCAGTTGAACTCTGTTACTTGTTGGGCTTCTAGTGAACTTTGATGCAGAAGTAGAGATCGATAGAGTGGCCAAGTGCACGGCTTTGAACCTGGCTCTCCAGCTGTCCTCTGTGTGGCATTGGGAAAGTCCTTTAACTTCTCTGAGCTAACCTCATTGAGCTGTTGTAAAGACTTAGGGTGATAATACACACAAAGCTCTTGGTCCATTGACCGGCTCATGGCAATGACCTAAACTGAGCTATCCTTATCGTCAAAGGATTCCATGAGTGGAAAACCTTGGAAGACCAACTCTCAACCCAAGTCCCCAGGGCAGCCCATTAAATTTGAGCCTGGGTTGTAAATGTCTCTTCACTCTTTTCTTGCCCCACAGGGTAACTGTTTGGCTGTCAACAGCCCCAACTGAGCCTCTAACCCATTGGTATCAGGTGCGGTGCCTTCTTCACACTCCTCTCTTTGCCAAAGAAGGAGAGACCCTCTCGGGGAAAGTGCTTTTTGTAGCCAACAGACGGTAAGCAGGAGCATCCTGACGGAAGACCACCTCTGCATGCTGCTCACTGATGGGGAAGGGGGTGCAGGAGGTGGGAGCCTTTCCAGCACCTAGAAGTGTGCGCGGCATGGTTTACCAAAGCCTGGCTGCCTTTGCCAGGTGCGCTCAGCTGCGGAGCTCAGGGCGGCAGGGATGGGGAGCTTGGGCTAACTCAAGGGCAGCGTTCTCCAGCTGACCACAGAGGAAGGAAGGGAGTCTGCTCATGGGAGTGCTTACCAAAGGCTCGAATTATCAAGTGCTTTAAATCCCACATCAGCTTCCTGGCCTTCCTTGCAGCTAGCCACATACCCCCAAATTTAGTGCAGCAACATTGATCTCTACCCAGGGGGATAAGCATGGCAGGGCCGGCGCAGCCTGTGTCAGCCAGGACTGGCGGCTTCCCTCTGATAATGGGTTTCCCGAGGCCTTGGAAGTGATTAGTTTGATTTATCTCATTTTTAAAATGCTCTGTTTTCTCTCACCTGGCTGGAGCTTCTCCCGGGTGAATCAGAGGAGAAAGGATATAGCACAGTAGTTCAAGGACTCTCTGGATCTTAAGGGTACTCACAGGTCATCTCGCTCCACTTCCTTCCCTCCCTCCCTCTCCCGCTTTCTTGGGCTTGTGCTTGAATACTCCTGTGACAGAGAGCTCACCACTTCACATACCAACCCTTCTGTTTCTGAAGTCTTGATTTCTTCCATTACAAAAACCTAACGCATTCACATGTACATTCAAAACTACAAAAGCGTCCAGAGCCCACACACACTGCCACCCCTCACCCCAGGCCCGAGATGTGACCCTGTGCTCCATAGCATTTCAGGTGATTTTCTGTGCATATACTAACCAAAAATTTTCGTGGGGTTTTTATTGTTGTTTTACAAGAAGAGTAAACTAACAGTCTCCAACTCACATTTTTACTTAGCAGTGAGTCCTGGATCTGTGCAGACAGGTTGTTTTGTCATTTTACTAGATGTATCAGAGATGGACATAGAACATGTCTTTTTTTAAGTTGCTGTTTTTTGTGGGTTTTTTTGGCCATTGCAAAAAACTCTACACTAAATACCCTTGAACAGGAAGATTGTACAGTGGCAAGAACATCTCTACGTGAGATCCCTAGAAGTGGAAATGCTAGATCAGAGGTTATGTGTATGTTGCGCACTGATAAATACTGCTTTTCTCAGTGGTTGCGCCAACTTCCACTCACACTGCAGCGGACAGCCTTGTGCATTCCTGTACTTCTTTCCTTGCACTGCCCGTTACTGGTCTCTATAGTTTTTGCCAGACCCAAAAATCACTTTTTAAAAGTTGCATCTGGTTATTTCATTTCTATTTCTTTAACTACTACTAAGGTTAAGTAACTTTTCGTATGGTCTTTGGCTATCAATGTCATGTACTTTAAACATCTCTGATGATTACAAAATGACTCTTGCTGTTAATCCTATCTACCACTTTCTATTCATTGTACTCATTTATCTTACTTCCGCTTCTGAGGTCTGTTCCAACCTCCCAGCGGTGGCTGTTTAACTATTTGGAGAGTTCTTCCAAAATCCTCCCAGCCTTCCTGCCTTTTGGCTAACATCTTCAACTCCTCACTCCTATAAGAGTGATTTTTAATTTGTCTGAGATTTTAAGTTCTCCCCCTCTGGAAATGAATCTAGTTCCTGGGACGTTTCCAGAAAGTAGTTTACAAGAGAGGCATTCCTGTGGCAGGAGAGTCATGGCAGTGTTCACACGGTCTGTTTTTCTCACCTCACGCTCTGTCCTGTTCAGTCCTGGCGCAGAGACATCCTGCTTCCTGCAAACATGGCTGCCCAGCGCGTCTCCAGGTAGGTCTGCTGTGTCACAGTTCTAGATGCATCTCTGCCTGGGAGCCTTGCCTGCCCTAGTTCCTGCACAAGATGCTACAAACAAGGACTAAAACTTGTGCAGTTCAGAAAACGCTCCTTGTCTTCAGGGCCCATGTTTTGGGGAGCACTCTCTGCGGACAGCTGCCCGGGGCTCTCTTGCTTCTCTTTGCACTTCTGTACTATTTCCCCTATGACCCACGACCAATCTCAAGTGCTTTTGTATCCGTCATGCATATGCTAGAGTTGGTAGATTAGATCTTTCTCGCGGTTGGACAGAAAATGAGGTCTGTGGTCTGCAGTGTCTTTCTGTTCTGCTTGTTTGGGGATGGCTTTCAGGAGAAAAATGGGAGAACACTGATTTTTACCATGTTTACCCTGAAAGTTACCACTTTCTTCCTGAATCTTCATAAGCCATCTATGTAATGACCAGTTCCACAAGGGGGAAAAAAAATAAAAGGCTCAGGAACAGTAGCCCACATCAGCCTGGAATGTGGACTTGCCTTTTCTGCTTGATAAATTTTTGCTTTCAAATATTTATATGTTAACATACCACAGGGTATAATTAGGTGAGTGAATTTAAACCATCTTATTGTTTCATTACTTTTTCTAACATATCGTGGGTTTCATTCTCATCAGTCATATTTTCCTACTGTCCTCTCCTCCATTCCCCTAGTCGGGAAGAAAGAAGCAAACCATTCACCTCCCACACCTGTGTCGTGACTCCCAGCTCCTCCAGCCCTCCAGCCCTTTCCTAAAATACTGATTATATTGCTAGTACTTGCCTTTATGTGAGCATTCCAAAAAGAAGGCCCGAGTCTCACTCTATGGCGTATCCCTCCTCACTTCATACACTTCAGAGGTTCAGCAGTGATCTGGAATGACCACTTGAATGAAGAAGTCATAGCTGATGATCCTTCTCTTAGTAAGAATTTCATCTGGCACAGCTGAAATAAGATGCTAAGATATTATGGACCCACAATGCTTTGCAGCAGGAATAAAAGGAGGGGGTGGGAGGAAGGAAGTTCTTCATATTAGACCAGCACCCAGGTGTAGTGAGAGAGGCCAGCTTTGGGTGTCTCCTGGTTTTGTCCAGTCTCCTCTGCCCATAGTTGGTGCTTGAGTGATCTTGAGCAAGTTAATGGATTTCTCCAACTATCATATGATCTCCCTGATATGAGGGAGAGGAGATGCAACATGGGGGGTTAAGGGGGTAGGAGAAGAGTAAATGAAACAAGATGGGGTCGGGAGGGAGACAAACCATAAGTGACTCTTGATCTCACAAAACAAACTGAGGGTTGCCGAGGGGAGGGGAGTTGGGAGAGGTTGGTTGGGTTATGGACATTGGGGAGGGTATGTGCTATGGTGAGTGCTGTGAAGTGTGTAAACCTGGCGATTCATAGACCTGTACCCCTGGGGATAAAAATATATGTTTATAAAAAATAAAATTAAAAAAAAAGAAGTACCTTGGGATAACTGAGTTGGGGGAAAAAAAAGTTAATTTCTCTAGCCACAATTTATAGTAATTGTGTCATCAGGCTTGGCAGGTATTAGAGAAAACATAGTATAGTCATCAATACACAGTAGATCCACAGGAAATCTTAGCTGCATTTTCTCCTGCCTTATTCTCTCTCTTTTTCTCATTGTATCCCATCAGAGTATTTGCTTTAAACTTTTTCTCTTCCTTGGTATTTTCTATGAACCTCTGCACTTCCTGAATGTCAGCGCTTTGACGCTCTTTTCAGTAAGGTGCTACCTGTTTGTCCTGCCTTTGGAGAGGAGAGCCCCCTTCCCTGCTGTCAAACAGTCTTTATAACCCCTGGCCTCCTGGGAGAATGTGTGCAGCCACACAGGTGTGACAGTGATTGCCCTTTTCTTCCCAGTCAGGGCCATTTATGATTGTATCATTAGCATTTTATTTTCCACCGACCCCCATCCTTCTGGAGCTCTCATTCATTTTGGTGCTTGGGACAGTCAAACAGAACTCACCTTACTTAGAAACTTTATCGAATTTATATCCCTACAGTTCGTAGAAGTGGCATCCATGAAGCTTTTTGGTCACGTGCACCTATGAGTAAAAACATTTTATGTATGTGTCCTCCAAGTATACTACCATTTATCTTTTAATTACGTGAGTATACTACAGTAATAATAGAAAGCGTAAGACAAAGTGCTTGATACAGAGATCTATGCATATATATGTATGTATATACGTTTATATACTACAGACACACATGCATAGACATGTCTCTGTGTGTATATATATACATATATATACACACATAGAAATTTATGTAGTGTGTATCTTAAAAGATACAAAAATAGAAATAAAAAGAATGAATGGAAAAAAAAAAAAAACAAATATACATAGGCTGATTTTGGGTCTAGCTCAGCAACTTACCCTGGGCCAACATTTTTTGGAACAGAACTTAAAACTTTTGGATCCCTCTGAGGGATCCAAACTCAGGTTTGCCAGGGAATTTGGTTTACAGGGAGTTTACTGAGCTTTGTTTTCGGAACTAGAAGAAATGCTGACCAGAGGGCTTGGGAGGCTCTGAGTGCTTCCCCTAATGGTCATTACTGAACTTGCTCCAGCTGGCACTCAGCTTCACTGGGCCCAAATACCTATGTATTTGGACCGCTGCATCAGAAGGAACTGTAGGGGATGCTCTCGTGCCTGATTAAGGGCAGTGAAGTAATAGTATTTGCAGACAGCCTTTTGCACAACATTTCTTTGTTCTTCAGTGGTCCTCAGAATCTTCTAGCTCGAGCCCTTTGGTCACATGCTTCGTGTCTCCTTGGTTGCATTGGTCCCCATAATCAGACTCTTACTGAACCCTCCCACCTTAGCAAAACCTGAGAACTAGGTGAGCCTAACACATACCTTAACCGTTAGCTGGGGTTTAGAATCCAGCATTTACCTAGTGAATTCACTAGTGCTCAGGAGGTGTTAGGTGCACAACTGTATTGGCTTCTGAGGACTGGCAAAATTCAAAATAAGAGCTCCACATTTTCTTCCATACCCCAGTATACCATCCCTCCTCCTCCCGGGGCATGCTCTGCTGAAGAGCACTGGGGTGGTATCTATGCCAGTGAAGTTCTAGCTAACTTCCTTCAACATCAGTAAACCCTCGGTG